TTTTAAGTGTTAGAAACTGTTACATTGGCGGGAAAATATGGTTGGCATAGTGATATTTTGAAACGTCTGTCAAGCGGAAGTGGTTTTAGCAGATAAACCATATCGCATAAAGGGCCACACAGAACCAAACACAAACACATGATGGGCTTATTTTAGAGTTCATATGATGATAAAATAATGTTTAATGGCATTAGAGTTTATCTTCCGTAATCCGCTTTAGTGAAGAAATCGAATAGCGTAATTATTAGTCTGATTTAACATAAACTACAGCTCTTAAATACGTAGCTCTGTTTGCTGTATTTATTTTACAACACTGTTATTATCCGTTTATTGAGCAAATAAAGCACGAGCGAGACTAAACAAATAAAGAAAGACGAATAATCCCGAACAGAAGCCGAATGAACACGAACACATATAACAGATTTTCTCGATACATTGTAGCACTCACTGTAATCCTGACGCTCATCTCCACATCCGCTGCATTTCCGCCTTCTGCGCATGCGCGCGCGGCAAAGCAGCTATTATTATTGCTCTGCATTATTATTGCGATGCTCTAAAATGAGCTGACGCTTTAGTTTAGGGACCAATTCTCACTATTAACTAGTTGCGTATTAGCATGCATATTATAGCATATTGGCTGTTCATATTCTGCATGACCATATTTTAGATCCCTCTATTCAACTCAATACCTAAACTTAATAAGCAATTAATAAGCAGCAAGTAGTGTGTAGTATAGTGAGAATAGGTCCCCAGTGTGACCAAAATATTATTATTTTATTTTTAAAATGTAACTTTGTTAATTAATTACTAAATGTAACTAATAGTGAGAATTGGTCCGCAGTGTGACCAAAATATTATTATTTTATTTTTTAAATGTAACTTTGTTAATTAATTACTAAATGTAACTAATAGTGAGAATAGGTCCCCAGTGTGACCAAAATATTATTATTTTATTTTTAAAATGTGACTTTGTTAATTAATTACTAAATGTAACTAATAGTGAGAATTGGTCCGCAGTGTGACCAAAATATTATTATTTTATTTTTAAAATGTAACTTTGTTAATTAATTACTAAATGTAACTAATAGTGAGAATTGGTCCGCAGTGTGACCAAAATATTATTATTTTATTTTT